TCTTATCTAGAATGCCTGCAATAAATACCTTAAGCCGACTAAAATTAGTGTATACTAGTATTTAAAAAAATGTTTTGATTAGTTTAGACAGGAAATATATAATTTATAAATATCCAGAAAGAAAGAAAAAATGGGTTAAAATATATAAATAATGTTTCTGTTTAGATTTTGACGTATGACATCTGTTGAGTATGTGTTGCCAAAATAATAAAAGGAGAAAAAAAAATTCTTTCAAAGCATTTTGTAATTAACAACTCGCAGAAAGCACGGAGTGTTGTAAAAGACGAAAATAATGTTCGGTTTCTCTGAATTAGTGTCTATTCCCGACGGTGATGTTTCCATTACCGAAGGACGGGATATAAACAGAAGGAAGGAGGAACATGTGTGCGATTGTTGCCGGGTCGTTTATATCAGAAATGATTTAACGTTGGCAGTGTTGCCTGAGGATTAACTGGTGCTCTCTGGCTAGAGCGGTGATGGGGTTACTGGCACTCGTTGCATCCACTTCGCTTCAAGTTATCTGTCATATTATTATCTGTTATATTGCTATATATTACTATTATATTATTTCGCTTGTGAAAGATCCCTTGTGACGTAGATAGTTGTGCTGCGGCTTGCTGGGCGCCAAATAATATCGCCCGTTTATTACAAAAAGTCATGAAGTAACATTTCAGAAAATAAAATCAATAATTCATAATTTACAAAAAATACACGGTGTAAAAAGGCGATTTATTTAATTAGGTACTATCGATTTATGAACAGCCATTTGCTTTCCACTTGAATCATAAGATAACCTAATCACAAAATCGAGAATAAAAGTGTTGGCGTCACTTCCATTCCTAACATGTCAAAATAACTTATATAGGCCTAACGGTCTGATATATTTGTAAGCGACCGTTTTTTTTTTTACTTGCCTACCTACACTAGGGAAGGAAAGTATTCATCGGATCGGGACAAAGGAAAGATCGGGACAAATTTCCGACATGCGGTTTTTGACGGGTCTATACGTTTCAGAGCACCTTGAGTCCGAAAAACACATTTTTAGCCACTGGTCTGCCTGTTTGTGCCAAGATTATCTCGAGAACTAGTGGACTGATTTTATTGCTTCTTTTTTTATTTTGTAGGGTTTTTACTGCTAATGCCTGTCACACAAACTGGGTGCCATATGCGCAATAGCGGTTGCGCAATAAGGGGAAAACATATTTTCCTCTAGAATGTAGCGCTAAAACGGCTCAAACGATTTTGATGAAACTTTCCAATAATTTTCTAATTAGTGTCCTTTCAATTTTTGAAACATTTACTAAATTCTCGAGAAAATTCAGGAAAATATGTTATAAAGAAAAGAAAAATGTTTTGGGGTGTAACTCACTAAGTATATATTCTACGGTAAAATTTTTGAAAGATAATTAAATTATCTACAAAACAAACCAAAAAATCATCGGAAGCGAACCAGTATTAGCGATGATACGTCGTATTTTGTTTTCTACACATGTTTTAATTTATTGCTTTCCTACTTACACTAAGTAAAGAAAGTATTCGGATCAAATTTCAGAGCCTATTTCTTTTTTTTTTTAAAGATAACGAAATTTCCTACAAAACTGTATAAAGATCGTTCATTCCGGACAACTATTGACCAAGTTACAGCTATTCAATTTCTTATGTAAGAATACGGGTCTAAGCGGTGAATGCGAGGAAATAAAGAAAAGTAAGTGGAAGTAAGAAAATCTGTTGCCCCTATCACACAAGCTTCTTTCTCTCGACATTTAATAGAAATTATTGTTCGACAATATTGGGCTAAGGTGAAAAAGTTTTTGATCAGCAATATTAGAGAGTATTGAATTTTATATGCTGATCTTTCGCAGAGCGGTTTACATTGCTTAAACTTTATCTAAGAAATCGTACTTAAATCTTTTGTTTGATCAATTTTCTGGAAAATCAATATAATTAAATTTTTTTTGTTTCTTGATGGACGGAAGGTAGGAAAGTCGTGTGAGTGGACCCAACAGATTTACGTGATCAAATTATATTACGATTCAAGTGAAAAACAAATGGTTATTTATGAGTGTTTAGTATCTAATTAACTTAATTAACATAATGAGAAAACGTCTAATTTCTGAGAATTTTCGTTGATAAAAAACTAAAATGTGTGCTTTAGACCACACAATAGAAGTGAAAACATCAACAAAGCGAAGTTAATAATATGAAATTTAAATTATAAATAATAGTTAATAATAATTATGAAAAGAATGAAATGATGAAAATTCCCTTTGCTTACAGTATGCAGGTCCAATTTTTAGTTTATGATATATTTTAATCCATATCTTCCATAAAACTCGATATCATTTAGTTTTCGACATTATTTTTTTTTTTTGGAAGGTTATGTAATGTTATATTATTATATATTTTCCATTATGCCTAGGAATTTCTTCCATTACTATCATTTATCTTTTTATTTTTTATCCCCACATATATTATTACAGTAAGGCCCGAAATCGTTTGTGTACCAAATATAAGCCATGTCATGCTCAAACACCATAAATGGGGTACTGTTGGATTTAGAATTTCACGGGGATTAACGAATCGTACTCTCCGCTTTTGTTTTTCTTTCTAAAATAAATAAAGTAGATACAAACATTTTGCTAGGCTTCGATACCGGAACGGTTTGTAGGTCTGTAGATCGATACGGGACAAATTGGGCTATGAAGATTTTGATGCGTACAGCAAGACCAAGATAGTTCCCTCGGAACTTTAGGGCCTGCGTTCTTAAGCCCCAAAACTTACTATTTTTAAGATAACGCAAGGCAAAGGGTTCGCATCCACACAACCTTACGTTAATTTCAGTACTTTAATTGAAAATGTCTCATTTCGTCGACTTGATGCTCCTACGACCGAGAGAGGAGGAGTTTATATTATTTATCGATGGTGTTTTTCATCGGCAAGCCATATCATCGTTAATTCTTCACCAAATCTCAAAATTGAGCCACCAATACTGAAGGTTTCCTTCCCCTTCAGGCGGGCAAAATAGTCTAATCACTCCAAAGATTCAGACAAAAAAGTTATGAAAGAAAGAAAATTTATTTGCGAATAACTCGAAAATTACACACTTTTCCCTAAATTTTTATAATTATATGACAGATTACTAACTTCCCTACAAAAGGAAACAAAAATAATCGTAATCGGACTATTTTTAGCAAAGATACAGCTTATTGAAAATTGTAAACATGTTGGTTCCAAATATTAATGAAGTTTTAAATTAATTTTTGTTTCCTTTGTCGATTATATTTAGCTAGAAAGTTTATGATACGTTACATTGTTTTATTTTCTTAATTATTTATTATTTGATCACTCAACAATCTACTGTGAGAATTTCCGCACGGGCCTACTGGTATATTGTTAATAATGTTGTCAAAATAAAATTATATAAGCATAAACTGGTTATGATTAGTTAGACAGTATATTTTTCTCTCTTCTACTCTCTAACACGGTTTTCGTTTAAGATTAAATTTTCTATAATAACTCATTACAAATAAGATGAAATGATGGATTTTAGTATATGAAATATTTTAATCCATATGTTCAACTAAACTAGTTATCTTGAATATTTAATAGTTGACCGTTGCATTATAAAGGAAGGAGATGGTCCGGGGTTGCGGTCATAAATAGGCTAAATAGTGGTAAAACTATTTTATTGAAAGCCGACGTTTCGACTCGACTTTGCAGGTCTTCATCAGGGCTAGAACGGACAAGACACAAAAAGATAGAGAATTGTGGCAATTACATGATATTTAGACACAATTTATAAACAATGTGAATAAGCTTATTAAAATTATAAACAATAAGTACAATAAAATATGGACAAAGTAAGCTGAGTAACAAGATCCTAAACTGAAGTAAATAGATGCTAACAATTGTTGTAGTGTAATATATAATAAATAAAAATGTGAATATACTTCTACAAAATCTACAGGAGAGAAATAAAATTACGAGACTTACAAGTGTGTTCATCTAGGCATGTTCATCATTTAGATACTGTAATTTCCTGGGTTTTTCCCAGTTTACTTAGTTAACACATGTTAGCTTCCCCTATACCTGCAATCCTTACCGCTGCCTTTCCAGTTCTAAGTGAAACTCCTAGATGAACACACCTGTAAGTCTCTAATTTTATTTCTCTTCTGTAGATTTTGTAGAAGTATATTCACATTTTTATTTATTTTATATTACACTACAACAATTGTTAGCATCTATTTACTTCAGTTTAGGATCTTGTTACTCAGCTTACTTTGTCCATATTTTATTGTACTTACTGTTTATAATTTTAATAAGCTTATTCACATTGTTTATAAATTATGTCTAAATATCATGTAACTGCAACAATTCTCTATATTTTTGTGTCTTGTCCGTTCAAGCCCTGATGAAGACCTGCAAAGTCGGGTCGAAAGGTCGGCTTTCAATAAAATAGTTTTACCACTATTTAGCCTATTTATGACCGCAACCCCGGACCATCTCCTTCCTTTAAACTAGTTATCATTTGGTTTCCGACACTATTTTTTCCTTTTCGCTTCCCTAACACGACGTCGCGTTAAGATACAATTTTGAATTATAGCCTATAACAGAGAGGATGAAATGCCGAAAAATTTCCTCGCTTACAATGTGCAGGTCCGATTTTTAGTTTCTGAGATATTTTAGTCCATATGTAACAACATTTCAATTAGTCGACTATAGCCGACTTTACCCGAGCGTTAAAACTTCGGGAATCTGATGGATCAATCTAATTCATTCTCAAACGCGCCAAAAGAAGATTTCACTTCAAAAAAATTTAGGTTGCGATAAGATGAAGCCATTCATGAAGTTTTATACGGATGTTAATCATTTGATATGCATCACGAACTGTATATGTATGTATATATAATTGTTGTTTATTTGTCCTAGATATAATTTTAATTTTAAAAATATTTTTAAAAACTTTACTCGGTGATAATAACCGGTTATTAATTGACCAGTTTAGCAGGTCTACGAGCCGAAGTAACGTACTCAGCCCGCAGCCCGCCAAAGAGCACGACCTCAAGTTCGAGTCCCGCTTCGAGTCCGGCAACCTGTCGAAGGCGATCAAGATCACAGAGGTCTACTACCAGCTCTACCTGAGGACCGACCTCTACACCAACCGCCACTGCCAATGGTTCTACTTCATGGTCGAGAACATGAAGAAGAATACGCAGTACAGGTAAATTGGGTATATATGAAATAGTAACAAAATGGAATGAACAGAGTATAGGTTTCAAGTGGTAACATGAATGTAACGTGTCAGGGCTAAGCTTTATCTTCCAAGTGAATTACTTGATTTCATATTTTTATAACAATTTTTAAAATTTTACTATGTAATCCAAGAAACTTTCGCGGATCCGGTCTAACTTAGGAGGGGTACTTCTAGAAGTACAACCAAATCTATTCTAACCACAATGAGATGGTCGAGATTCATTTCGTGGGTCCGTCACGAAATAATTTTCAAACCATCCATATCGGATTTGAACTGGCTCTCTTTGATTATATCATACTTTTACTTTTTAAGCTTATAATAGTGTTTCCAGCTACAAGACTTCCATCGAAGATATATCTTTTTATTTATTTTTTTTTCACTCCATAATTTCCAGATTAGAAATATTTAGTTTATCACCTTTTATAAATTAAATTACAGAGAGGTATAAGAATATCGTGTTTGGCACTGGTATATGTCACTGCACTAGGGGATCCAGGATTCAATTTTGAAAGCTTGATTTTGTTTTTGTTTTCTTAAATAACGGTAATTACATTGGAATGAAAAGAAAAACTAAATAAAATAATAGTCCGGCATGGCGGTCATGAATAGACTAAAATAGCGGCAAAACTATTTTATTTCAAGCCAACGTTTCAACCCGACTTTTCAGGTATTCTTCAGGGCTATAACGGACAAGATACAAAAGGATTTAGAAAATTATGGAAGTTACTTAATATTTAGATAAAAATTATAAATAAGGTGAATAAACGTATTAAAATTATAAACAGTAAGTACATTGAAATATTAAGAACAATAAACTATATAAACAGAATAAACTAAGTTACAAGATCCTAAACTGAAGTAAATAGATGGCAACAATTGTTGTTACATCTTGTTATTTAGCTTACACTGTTTATATAGTTTAATGTTCTTAATATTTCAATGTACTTACTGTTTATAATTGCAATAAGTTTATTCACTTTCTTTATAATTTGCATCTAAATATTAAGTAACTCCCACAATTTTCTATATCCTTTTGTATGTTGTCCGTTCTAGCCCTGAAGAAGACCTGCAAAGTCGAGTTGAAACGTAGGTTTGAAATAAAATAGTTTTGCCACTATTTTGGTCTATTTATGACTGCCACCCCGGACCATCTCCTTCCTATAAAATACAACTGTCAACTATTAAGTATTCCATATAAAATAATGTTTTAGTGGTCCTTAAAGTTCTGTTATATTGAAACTTATATTTAAACGTTTTTTTTTTCAATACAAGTATCCTATAGACCAATAACAACATGCTTCTTTTGTCACAAAAGCTCTTTTGCAAGTTGATATAAAGTTATACTGTATGGATTAGTCCGTGCTAGAGACCCTTTTTTTATCAAATTATTAACATCCACCTGAAACTTCGTGAATAGCTTCATCTCATCGTAACTTACAAATAGAATATTTACGAAAATTCTCGTAATTGGGACGTTTCAATTTAGAGATCTGCAAACTTTGTTCATCTCTATCACTTGATATAAGCCAAACGGCCCAATATTTTTGTAGACCGCCTTTATTTTTTCGATTTTGTGATCATATTATCTTACGATTCAAACAGGAGCAAATTGATAGTGATGAATTTTTATTACCTAATTATATAAACAAAGTTTGCCGATCTCCAGATTCAAGCCCCAAATCCAAGATTTTTTAAAAATATTTTGTATTTAAAATATTTTTAGGTTACGATGGGTAAAGCTATTTATGAACTTTAAGGCGGATGTTAAAAATTTGATAACAAGGGTCTGTACCTCAGACTATATTTATAATTATTATTAATTATCATATATCTATTCTGAACAAAAACATTCACTAAAAGAATCAGTATATTATTGGAGCAATCCAAAAAAAAATACCTTAGCCTAAGAAGATACTGAAGAACTTTATTCACTCCATCAGTAAGATAATAGCCTGTTATTTTATTAAATATTTATTTACATCCATTCATACCAATCAGTATATTTACTAATTAATGAATCTATTTTTAGGTTTTCCATCGTAAATTTGAGCAAGGGGGAGAGCCTGTACAGTGTTGGTATGAAGCCAGTGCTCTACTCATCGAAGGCTGCCGTCGACAAGAAATTGGGATGGCACCGCTGCGGCACCAATATAACTTATTTCCGCAATGACAACGGGTAATGAACTTTATCAATAATTTTCTGTTGCTTCCTCACAACAGAAGGTAGGGAAGCTTCGTATTCGTGCTGGAGGTTAAAAAAAAATATGTCCTCAGAATTAAAAAATTCCACTCGTGTTTTTACGTTTCAGGCATCAAGGATCAAATTTGGTTCGGCGTCTGTCTGTCTGTAGTAAAATCGATGTAACGGGCATATCACCTACTGTCGTTTATCCGATTTTTATGAAATTTTAATATAATATGCGGATTGGTGTCTAGATGGTCCCATATCAATTTCATCAAATCCGCTTACGCACGCACAAATGTATTTCCTTAGCTATGCCAATATTTCAGAAACGGCTAGTTCGATTTGACTCAAAATTGGAAGAAAGACAGATGTTGGTAGTAAAATAATCCTGTATCAATTCCATTACATTCCGTCAACTGCTTTCTCTTAAATATACCCAAACGTATTTGTCGTGATAAGCTTATATCTTAAAAACCGCACATTTGATATGGCTCAAATTTGGAGGAGGGAAGTTACTTTCCTCCTACTTTCAGAAAATACTTACGCTTTCGAATCTGAAAACGTATTGTTTTTAACACGCCTATATTATGAAAATGGCTCGTTCGATTAGACCGAAAGTTGAAGGAAATACGGAGAATAGTGTAAAATACCCTAGGATCAATTTCATTGAATTCCATTCAACAATTAAAATAAATATAAATAACTTTTAATACAAAATCTACATAACATTGAAAACTGCTTAATTTTACCTTGACATAATGAATTTAATCAAAATCGTTAGAGCCTTTTTCGAGAAAATCGTAAAAATGTGTTACATCGATGATATAAAGTGTCACTTTCGGTTAGCCGATTTTGACGAAAAAGTTGCTGTAACATTTCAGATATAAACAGACCTTAAATATGCAATCTCACTTTCATACGACTCTTTGTTTTTGAGCTGGACCTGTCACATACATACACACAGACAATTTGGCGGGACTTGGTTATTTGGCCTCAGGAGATCTCAAAACATGTATTTCCGTTGAAAATTCAGCTCCGAAAATTTTCACGATCGTAATATTTTCCTTTACTGTATATTTCATACATAGGTAAGTGAAAGGAAAAAACTGGATTCAGTTCGGAAATATGCAATTCAAATGAGAGTAACTGTTACTCTTACTAAAGAGTATATTATTAAAATTAACCGTTATTTATAACAGTATAACCACATTCAAAACAACAGTAGCAGTTCATACTGCACATTGTAATTATATTCAGGACAAGTTTTTAAGCTCTACATTGAGTTCATTGCTGGCATTGGATCCCTCTCTAAACCACGTGATGAGTTCAGCGCTGAGTTTAGGAACTTGCCCAAATTAAATAATAATTAATTAAGATACTCATCCAGCTATGTGATTATTAATTTATAAATATTTCTTTTTGTTGTTTTTTTTTTTTAGAAAGGATGAGGAGGACCCGGAATGTACTTACACCCTGACGTTTCAGTTGGAATTTCCTTACGATGATGACTGTTGCTTCCTTGCCCATAGCTATCCTTACACGTACACAAATCTTCAAGACTACCTCTATAAACTTCAGGTAGTATTTCATAAAAAAACTATAATAATAATAATTAAAATAAATCGGTTTAAGGATGTGGAAAGCTAGATAATTTTTCTTGGATAGGTATTTTAATTTTTACTATTCAATCACACATCACAAGCCTTGAAGAATGGTGTCAAAACTGGAGGATTAAAATAAATTCTAATAAATCCCATCAAATCAGCTTTACCCTTCGACGTAAACCTATGACCTCATGTCCCACTGTATCCTTTAATAATACTTCACTTATCCCTGTAGAACAAATCCGATACCTAGGACTCCAGCTGGACAAACGTCTAACTTGGAATCCTCATACAAGACTGAAACGACAAGAAACTGCTCGACGTTTCCGCTTACTCCAACACTTACTGGACAAACGCTCTAAACTTTCAATGAATTACAAACGACTCATATACATGACTATAATAAGACCTATTTGGACTTATGGAGTTGAGCTGTGGGGCTCCACTAAACCATCAAATTCCTCTCGTATCCAATCTTTACAATCCAAAATCCTTCGTAAAATCCTCAATGCTCCTTACTTTGTCACAAATAAAATAATCCATAAAGACCTCAATGTTCCATATGTTTCCGATTTGGCCAAATCCAGATACCTATCCTTCCATAATAAACTTCATAACCATCCGAATCCTCTTGTTTCTAACCTTGCTTCCTCTTCGATTCCTGATAACCCTCCGAGGCGTCTGAAAAGGAGATGGCCTCGTGATCTCCTCATGTAGACAAATTATTAGAGTGCTACCAATGGGTTGTTTCTCAACAAGCGTGTTTCATGTGATAATATTCCTATGTACACATTTACTTGATGTATTCATTCTAATACAGTTGTAAATATCATAATAAAAGTTAAAAAAAAAAAACCATTATCATTTATAATATATCCAACAGAAACATTATTATACCCGGACGATATTGTTATCTACGCTCGCACATTGTCCCCCATGCGGGATCTATCGAAGAATTCGAAGCGACAGCAATGCAACTTGTCCTGAGGATAAATGAAGGGAAATGTCTGTAAATGAAGTCCTCAAGGAATAATGTAGCTATGCATGAATGTGTACAAATTAATCTGCACCTTTTTCCAATGGAAAAAACTGGAAATTGAGAAAGTTTCTGGTGACAAAGATAAAGGTTTCGGGTACATTCTTCGTTTGATGAACCATGTACTATAGTGTCGTCAAAATATGATTCAGATTTGGAAGCCCTTTTATAATTTGGCCCAATGTACGAATGAATTCTGACGGTGCTGTTTTTAATATACTGCTTTCTTCCGTGACTTTTAGCTGTAAATAGGCTTTGTAGAGATCGAGTTTACAAGAATATCTAGAATTTCTGAGCCTGTTTAGATTATGCATCGAGTTTTTCCTGAACTAAATGCTCATTGACTCCGCATTTGATATCAAATGAAAATTAATTATTGGGGCATTGATGCTTTTAGAGATATCCATTATAATATAAAAAAATAATAGATTGTGATTGTTTCAGTATTTAGCTTACAATTATATCTCGCACAAAATAAATATCGACCACTGAAAAAATACTTTTTTTTTTCTTTATTTAAGATGGGTTCATTATGAATACTAGTTAATTGTTCAATTAATTACTTTACTCGATTAGAAATCGAAAATAATTTTTTTTTAAATTACGGTAATAATTTTTAAAAAAATTTAATTTATCTATAATATATTTACAATTGCAGTTTTATGAAGGAAATAATAATTACGAAGGTAATAATGGATATACTTTCTCGTATTTTATTTTATGCTCGATAAAAATGACGGTAAAAATTTCTGTTTAATTTTCTTTTACAACACATTTTAAAAAATACATATTTATAAAAAAAGTTTTATGAAGGAAATAATGGATATGGTTTCTTATATTTTATTTTATACTGAATAAAATCTAAAATTTTTGAATGAACTTTTGTTTTTAACGGATAACAGCAGTTGTTTTTCTTTAGTTCACCCATTTGCCACTAGTCGAGTTGCTGTTTGTTCGGTTTTTCTTTTCATTTTTTTCCAAATGAAACAAATGCTCTACTTTCCAACGAACCTATCAGTACATCTTAAAAATAACCCAACAGTTTTTTTTATAAGACATTTCCACTGTTAAGTTTAGGGATGTAATTTTTAGTTCCCATTATTAATGAAGGCTAGAAATAAATAAAAACTTTCATTATAGTTATTATATTTCTAAATTAACTTATAGGCAAAATTAGTTGATGTTTTTAGATGTATCTATCTACATTAGTGTCTTGCAGACCGAAAATAATTTTTATGATTGAACATATTCACATAAATCAATTTAATTGCATAAATAAAATTAAATACTATTATGTTCTATAAAAATTGAAAAAAATTTAAACTACAGTTAAAAAACTCTTGATGAACAAGCAGCATTATTCTAAACTTCGAACATACAAGAAAGTCCCTCATTTTTGAGACCAAATAATCAGTTCCGGTTACCTAGAAGAACTTATAGGTTAGCCCTTTCCATCTTTGTGCAGAGAGAATAATGCATTCAATATTAAAATTTCCTATTTTTTTGTAATATGGTCCAACTTGCGAACAAAATAAAGGAAATAAAAATTAATTTCTTTATTAGTGATATATGAGATTTACTAAACAACCCATCAACTATTCATTATATGTAGTTCAGATTAGGTATATATTATTTTAGTTTATATAACAGATATTAATATGACTCATTTCCGAGGAAGTATATACAATTTAAATTATCTCTAAGAATCATGAAATATACAAAACAAAGTGTTTAATTGCAAACGTTAAATAAAAAATTCAAGATATTTATTAATATTTGTTCGTTAATACAATCAATTTAATGTACAAAAACGTTATTATAGCACTATAACTAAGCCATTTATGAGCACTGAATGGCTCTAGCGGATCCAGGATTTAATTTTGGGGGGGCTTCAGCCCGAAAGATTTTTTTTCATATGCATATAACGATAATTAATTTGAAAAAAAAGAAAGAAATTAATTACCTATATGAAATGGTGTTTAAATGGTTCTTGAAGTCCTATTAAATATAATTACACGAACAAGAATATGTTAAGAGATAGTTTTTAATATTTTTTTTCTGTAAAACATGGTTACATTTTACCATTTTGGGGGGGAAGGGGCTTCAGCCCGAAAGCCCCCCCCCGTAGATCCGCCTGTGCTGAATGGTGTAGTAGAGGCCTGTAGGCACCCACGCCAGTACAGCTTTTCTGCCGCTTATGTGCATTTTCTACGAAACTGCTTCAAATATTTTAAAAAGTAGTCAGTGTTTTAGAAAGAGAAATAGATTCTCCAGATGTTTAATTTCAACGCGTTTTGCGTTATTGTTGGCCGTTTAAATACAAACGACGCTTGATTTTCAACTTGAAAATTTTTTTGTCAAAAAAAATTTACATTACTGGTGTTTTTATTGCCTAAGCCAATTATTTTTTCATGTTTTATTATTCTCTGACTAGCCAGCTTTAATAAAAGACCATCTATGACGTAATTAAGCCAAATGCTGATTCTCAGTGACCAAAAAACTAACTAAAGTCAAAGTCATCAGTCGGCCATGCTTGGGCGCCATTTTGGGGCAGTTCATTTACTTTCTTTTGTGGGAACATTGGCTTTTTGTTAATAAATAGTTACAAGGAACACAACGATATGCGATTAATAGAGATGTGGTGGAGAGGGGGTGCACGGTAGGTGGTCTGGCCCACCGACTATTTACTTTATTCACTGGGATTAAAGATAATTTTAAACTCTGGGCCTAATAGTGCAACTAATTTATTGTAGTGGTCTGAACCCTATGCTTACACATAAAAGTTGCGCTAATTTTCAAAACGTTCGAGATAACAGGAGAACTTTTCTTTGTTATGAACAAAATTTTCAAACCGTGCAATGATGGAAATATTATTGTTAATTTCATGTTCAGAAAATTGAAGTTTTGTTGCAATATCGTCTATCGTTAACCTTTGAGACTGTTCGATAGCAGTCAAAAGTAATTTAAATTGTTCAGCGTTCATTTTAAATAGATAGCACCAACTTGTTGAAAAACATATTTAAAAAATGGATAAATACCGGGAATAGAAGTTCGAAGTTTTCTTCTTCACTTTGTCGCAAATTCAACGTGGATTTTCTTATAATGGAAAACATCTTTTCAATAGAAAAACACTTTATTGGCTAACATAAAAAGATCTAATAATCTAACTAAACACGGTTACGTGTATACAGTGTTGCCACAATTGGTTACAGTAACTCAGTGTTACCACACTGTGGAAATTTTAATAAATAAATTTTAATTGTTAATAAAACATCCTCATTGTTTAAGCTGAATTGGTATTAAGTAGTGATTTTCAGATTTAATAATTAGCATTCGTATCGGCAATATTATTCAAACTTTTTTTTAGGTATTTTTAAAAACATGTTGAGCCCGTAGCTCCCTCCCCTACACAATTCATCAAGTTTTAGCTTTCTTTACTGAAATAAATGTTTATTTTCACTTGGTATTTTAAACAATTATGAAAAATAAACTATTCAATAGTTTCAAATGGTGAAATATGAATAGACTCGCATTTTATAGTTTTATAATTAGTATGAATGAATTATTATTTTTTAGAACCATCCTATAAAATCTCTTCACACAAGACTGCGACTTCTCTGCAAAACTCTAGCAGGAAATAATGTATATTATTTAACAGTAACTGCACCACAGAGTTCTGAAGATTCCTTGAAGGTAATTAATCCATTAGATAACAACAAAACTTAAACCCCCTGAGTAATTTTTAATTTAAAATTATAGAACACTCAAAGTCTGTTTCTATCTTACATTTTGATTTCTTAGTTTATTATCTTCCATAAGTTAAATTTGACTGAATTGTCAATTATGTACCTAATAAACTAAATTTGCTTTTATCAATAATATTTTTTAATTTACATATTTTAACGTTCATTTCAGAAAAAAAAAGCTGTAGTGATATCAGCTAGAGTCCACCCGGGAGAAACTCCTGCATCATACATGATGAAGGGTCTTATAGACTTCATCACTGGAGATGCAAAAGCTGCACAGGTATTGCGATGATTCACTTCTAACCAAGATTATATTATATTATACTAATATTTATAGATTATGTTTAACTTTTATTTAATTTATAGTATCACATTATGAAAACTTAAAAAATCAAAACAGACTGCTGTGTCCAATATACAAAGTTTAGTGGAAAAAAAAAAAAACAGCCAATGGAACATTATTTTTCTCTGAGTTTTGGTTTTATAGATAAATATACATAAATATATATTTATATACATAAATATATATAAATATATATTTATAAAAAGTAAAAAAAAATTATCTCAAATGTAATAATTGATTAATTTATCTGTAAATGATCTTCATTCATATAAATTGTTTCTATTAAATGTCTTCTACAATAAGTTTTTGAAAAATTTTTAATGAATTAAAAGCAGTAAGATATTGACGCTTGTAACAACAAAGTTATATTATTACTAACATTCCTTAATTGAGCCGTTCAGTCGACTAACTAAAATTAAAACAGTTTTTATTATCAATTTTAATGATATTTCAAGGGGGGAAATTTATACCTTTATCCACCGTTCTTTATTTCAACATTGCAATCATCTACTCTGGAATCAACTTACTCACTGTCTGTACAGATATTATATATTTTCCAACTAAAAATATCACTAAAATGATTTTAGTCAAAAATGTTGAAATTGGAGTTAGTCAATGAAAGGCTCAATTAAATGACATAATTTAATACACTAAAATAGCAAAGGTTGCAGTGACTGGACTTTGTTTTGATACCATAAAGTTGAGGACTAAAGTAATTCTAACCAGTCTGCACGAACCCAAAAAATCTGTACAGGATTTCACATCCATACCAAATTTTTTGTGGACCTGTTGGAATGACTTGGCCATCTTCAGTCAAAATATCATTCGTTTGGCTCACATTTGTCACAATTCTGTTCATAACTAAACTATTCTCCCTGTGGCATTCCAAAGCTATCTGTGTCGTTTTATAATATGGTTGCTTTCAACCAAAGATGGGCATAATCATACTCATAATCGATGGCGATTACAGTAATTATGATTACAGTGATTACACGATTTATTATTAAGATTATATTCAGGTAATCATGTCATATTTTTGCTACATTTATAATACTATTGAATCAAGTATAAAACTAAGTTTTATTTTCAGTTGTAATCATGTAATCATTAATTCCGATTTTATCCATGTCTGCTTTCAACCCTTTCTGTTTTCTCTCCAGACCTACCCTAATATTGTTTCCAGACTGGTCTAAATTTCGCATCCGCGCAGGATTTTTCATTCATGTTTTTCCTGGATATGTTGGTATGGCTTGTCCAGCTTTACCCAAAATATCAATGCATTAGCTCATGTTTATCACTATACCCATCAAAACCAACCTATCTGTGTTGGTCTATACTGGTCTAAATAAATTGTTTCCAGACTGGTCTAAATTCTTAAGCATTCAAAACATAAATTACAATTTATAGCATAAAATTTAATATTAATTTTATCATATATTAATGCCTCCACAACAGTAAAAAAAAAAGTACTCATTATTTTTTTTCTTATGTTTGTAGGAACTTAGGGAAAGGTTCATCTTCAAGCTGATACCAATGTTAAATCCAGACGGTGTCATCGTAGGCAACAGTAGATGTTCTCTGACTGGACGAGACCTGAACCGTCAATTCCGTACTGTGATAAGGGAAACGTACCCTCCTGTCTGGCACACCAAGGTCCTCATCAAGAGGTCTCATAAGAATTTACACTTATATAATCTGATCGGTGCAATGTTGTTAAAAAATAATGGTACTAATTATTACTAATTTTTAAAATGCTGGAGCTACATAAACAGAAAGAAAAATTGATTATGCAGCATCTGGGAATAAGATCCTGCGTGCTTATATATAAGATAGTGGAGAACTTCTGTTACCTGGTTTATTCTATATTTTTGTTTATAATTTTTTATCTGAATTAGGAAATACAAGCAGAGACACTTCCCGCAACTACTAACCAGTTTTAATATTTTAAAAAAATCTAAATAATTAAAAAGTAATGGGTAGTAATTAATGAAATGTTATTGAATTAAATATAAACTAGAAAATAACAAAAAATATAATAAAACATAATAATAAACACTTATCAAAGCTAGGTCTACGTCATCAGCGCCTGGTCAATAACATAATATTATTGAAATATTTAGTATTTAATAAAACAAAAAAATTAAAAAGAAGAAAACGATAAATAAAAGTTATTATTATTATAATTCTTTTATTAAATTTACACTTGTCAGAAATACTATTTTTTTGTCAGATCTATTACTGTTGTTTCTCAACGCTATTGATATATTTTGTGATATCCCTATATCATCCTATATTATTTAATTTGCAACTGTAAAACGAGCAATCTTGGAAAATGTGAGCTATGACAGGATATTATTGCATCTAGGCGGTGCAACTTTAGCGATGAGGTGGATGTGGGTCTTGAATATCCTTAGGGGTGCTCAGAAAGGGGTTTCATGGCGCAATGTGTGCCATCAAAATTTTTGAGGGGGGCACATTTCGGCGGGGCCATGAAAGTTCGGAATGGAAAGTTCCAAACTAAGAACAAGAAAAAACAGGGAACAGACTGCAGCAAGTGTAATTGTATATGATCCACGATCTTTTTAAGTTTACTTTCGTTCGCACTGTTATTAAGAAGAAAAGAGAAATAAAATATCTTGGATTGGGAAGGAGGAAGGTTTCTGCATCATCGACCTTGGGTGGGAGGGGGGAATGGGCACCCCTGAATATCCGATCCTAAGCCAGGTAAGGACCACTTCCCCTCTGCGTATATTGCGATTAGAGGAACTTCAAGGTCTAATATATTTTTTTATAAGTTTGAATTTACTTGGAACACTCTTATCCCATATTTTCTGCCACTCTTTCTGTACATTCATTATTTCTTTATGATTTATTAATATAATTTCATATTTTATTTCCCTCGGCTATTTTCAATAGTATAGCACAGTACTTATTGCAGTTGCAGACTACAAAATGTCACCTTTAGTACAGATAGAATAAACATGGAAAACTGTTTCATATGACCTTTTGCACGAACAGTAGCGATATGCTCTAATTTATATACTTAGATACTCATATAATTATTCTTAAAATGATATTGATATAATTAAATTAAAACCTTTTATTTCACATCTTATTAAATTAATATAATAATAAAATAATATAAAAGAAATATATTTATTACTAGTAATTAATTAAGGTTTCTCAAATTATATACTATAATTTCAAAACACTAATAACTTATTATTATACATAATTTATAGGTTAATGGAAGACTGCGGAATAGCATTGTATTGTGATCTTCATGCCCATTCGTCAAAACATAATGTGTTCATTTATGGCTGTGAAAACAAAAGAAATCCCGATAGAAGACTGCAGGAACAGGTCTTCCCTCTCATGCTTCACAAAAACAGTTCTGATAAAGTAAAAATTGTTGTCTATTATCTAGTCATATAAATATGACATTCAAGTAAATCATGTTGTTTTATTTTATTTTTCCAGTTTTCTTTTGAAAATTGCAAGTTCCGTATCCAAAAAAACAAAGAAGGAACAGGACGAGTCGTTATGTGGATGCTGGGGATCGAAAATAGTTACACCTTGGAAGCCTCATTTGCTGGTTCTACCCTTGGAATGCGATCATGCTCGCACTTCAATACCAGCGATTATGAGGCGATGGGGAGATCGTTTTGTGAAACACTTCTCGACTTTCTCGATGATGCTCCGGTTAAGGTATAATTTTAAATCTTCTCAGTTATGTATGAAGATGCCAATGTATATAATGCTACTGAAACCTGTTATGTGGATGTCTTTAAAAGTGGAGGTCATCCAGCTCTTCTGTATATAGAATTAGAGCATGTTCTTTGTATATGTTTAGTTGTAGTAAGTTTTTTTGTGATTTAGTGTTATAGTAACTACCTGTGATAAAATAAACGAAGTAACCACAGTTATACGCCAAATATGATACATACAATGAGGTTTAGTCATCCATAAAATGTATGTTATGGAGAACCACTCACCAAACTGTTTCATCTAGTTCAAAGCAAACTAATAATTGTATGTAAAAGACATGTTAGACCAAAATTTTCTCTCAATTTAATTCAATGTTATGTTAATTGTATGTGCTATGTGTAAAAATTGATTGTGCTTGACATAAAATTAACATTGTTTATAAGTAATCATGAAATTTAATAATTTTTTTAAAATATAATATCCTTTAATACAATATTCAATTTAATTAAATGTTTAAATAACTTATGAACCCATTTCTTTTTCTGTTCCTGCTTCCTATTTGATGGCATTAATTAATCTGTACAACTGGTATGTTTTAAAAAATCAATATTATCAAAATAAATGAATTTCATATCATTCAGGTCTATCTTTGAAACTTTAAGCCCTATATTTCTCAAATATTTCAGCATATTCCAGTCGAAATTGAGGACAAAAATACTCCAGAAATTACAAAAAGAGGGCTCAAGCGCAGACGAACCCGCAAACGTAAGCGTGTCTGATTATTCTAGGTAAATATTCCTTTTCCCTATTTTCACAAAACAAGTTCTTTTTTTTATTTTATTTTATTAAATATCAATTGATTATTCTTTTTTATTAGTGATGATGGTGAAATAACCGATTCGAGCGACGACGAAAAAAAAAAAAGGGAAGATTTTTTTCTAACGGCTCCACCACCATCTCCAGAAACTGTTCGGGAAAAATCGAGAACATATAAGGTAGTCACGGCTGTGTATATTTTCGTCACATATAGCGATTTTCAGCACATTTTTGTAATACTGTATCTAATAAAATATGTGTTCTTTTTAAAAGTTTTATTTTTAGTGATTAAACTAAAATTGTTTTGTTATTAATTAAACATGTAATTTTGGTTTAAATGAGTATATTTTTTTAATGTAAATTATTTTACTACATAATACATTTTTAATAATTTTGAATTTTTCTTTACATTTCATCATTAATTTGATACACCGAGTTCATAAATATAAATACTGTTATTTTACTGTCTTGACTAATGATATAACATTCTGAGTAAAATTTTCAGGAGGGTTCACCGAAGCCTCGTAGACATCCACCTACTGTTATAATTTTTTCACCACCTGCGCAAAGAAAAACCATGCAGGTTTTTAAAAAAAAAAACCCTATAGCAAAACATAAAACAGTTTATTAGTAGAACAAAATGATTAGTTACTCGCTTTTGGCATTTTTTATTTTTTAGGTTTTCTTAATTCATTTTATATATTTTGATTTTAGTGCAGCATATAGTTCATAGGGCGTAGAGCACAAATTAGATCATTATTTTATTTTAGGGAATAAAAAGTGTATATTAAAATATTTTTATAAAACATGTTTTTAAACCATAGGCATATATTTTTAAAATTCATGGTATGTTAATTGAAATTTGATTTTAAATGATAAGATTAAAGTTTTAAGTATAAAACAAAACTATATTTTTATTTATATTTACAAGATGATGAACAGACGATAGAGGATTTCTATAAAACTGCTGACTGACAAAGACAAATTTTTAAAAATATTTCATAAAAAATTATGAAAGCATGTGTCCACTTCACATTTCAGAATTAATCTCTTATTAGATCAAAAATATGTACTTAATTAATAAAAAAGAACAATTTCTTCAATGTTAAGAAAGTGTAGCAACATACTAAATAAATGTACGTATTTATATCTAAGCATGAAACCATTAATTTTGTCAATGTTTAGCATTTTTTCAGACAAGTAAATTTATCTCTTGAAATTGGATTATTCAGGTCCATTGCAAAGAGGTCTAAATTTCTATACTTTTAGGCCAAGATGTTTGAAAATTGTCAATACGGAGGGGATATCTGTTAGGAGGGATTTTACTGTATTATAAAAATAAAATATTGCAATTTTATTTATTCCATTGTAAATATTAGTATTTGTAAAACTTTGATTAAAATTTTAACTTTTTATAGCATTTTTTTTTCAGTAGAAAGCTTGCTGTTCAAATATACTTCATTCATGTCTGAAGCCTACAGCTGACAATCATTCTTCTTGAAATTTTTTTTTTCCTAAATTCATTTTTTAATTTCTACTAATTTGAGCCAAATATTACAATTGTTAGTTCTCACAGATTATTCATTAAAAACTTTATGTCTTCTAAATCAACCTTAATCGAATAATAGAATTTTTATTAAATTGTAGGAGGGCATACTAAAATATTGTAATTTTTGGTTCATTTCATTATTTTTTTAATTTTTATTTATAAAACTGACATTTATATGGAATGATTAAAAAAGTCATTCATTATTAAAAGACTTAAAAAGAATAAGCCCAAATATTTTTGGGGTATAACAGATGTGCAATATGAATTTTTAAAACATAAATGCTACTAAGCAATAATAATAGTAAATTGCTCATAAATCGAAAGGAAACATCGCTGGGTCATTCCATTTCAAATCATCTGGCCAAAAACTATATGTATATTAACATCAACCATTTGCCATTCCATCCTTATTAACTCTGCAAAATATTATTCTTAATAATTTTTGATATTTTAATTTCCCAAAATATAAATCTACTTAGTTACATTATCTATCACGAAGTATATTATGCCATATTATTTTTGTTTTAGTATTATAATAAATAAAAACATACTGGTTGTCAGAAAACCAACTATTCCATTCTAGAACTAACAATTTCATACTTTAAAGATTATTTTCAAATAATAAATACTTTGATAACTTTGATAAATACCTTTGACATTAAATCTTATATTTTTCTTCAAAATATTTGTGATGTTCAAGTTTGAACTGATTATGTCTACACTATTTAATAAATAAGTCGCTAAACACATTGTTGTATTACTCTATAGTTCTGACGTCCTGCTTTTGGTGGGATAGTGCCAATTTTTAACAATTTGTCCCATGTCCCCCGTGGTGTTTTAAAAATTTCCCAATTTTTGGAAATAACGCACAAACTAGGAAAAGGAAGGAGAGCAGGAAACGAATATATGGTTTTCGCCAGCCATCTGACTATTTCGCCAGGATATGAATTTTATATAATTTTAACTTACAAAGCTTAGTGGTAGGCGAGGATGGATGGATTTAAGTTAGTTTAATTTTCTAATGCTATTCTAACTTCACACAAGAATCCTACTATCGCATCAATTGCCCTACAAAACCATCTTCATGATCTTGAAAAGTGGTTTGAAAACTGGAAAATCAAAATTAATAGTAAAAAATCCACCCATGTTAGTTTCTCTCTTAGGAAAGCCTCATGTCCACCCATAATGATTGCCAATAATCCAGTGCCTTCAAAGAACTATGTACGGTACCTTGGACTCTACTTAGACAAGACTTACTTGGAACATACATACGAAATTAAAAAGACAAGAACTTACTAGACAATATAGCCAACTTTCACATCTTCTGGACTACAGATCTTCACTTAACTTACGAAACAAGCAACTGATCTACAACACCTTACTGAGACCAATATGGACATATGGAGCAGAACTTTGGGGTTTAGCAAAACAAACACACATAAACAAAATACAAACAGCACAATAAAAAATTTTATGAAAAATTGTTAACGCACCTTGGTACATTTCAAATACTACTATACATAACGACTTAAACATCCCAACAGTAAAATCCTACATTCACGACAACTACACTACATTTCATTCTTCAACCCAAAATCACCCCCAATCCTCTGGTTCTTTCTATCTCCTGCTCCCTGTTACCTGAACAACACAGATTAAAAAGAAAATGGCCAAGAGACCTACTACACCAATAAAATCTATATCAAGCAAATACACCAAGACAATACAAACACAATAAATTTGCTAGATGCACAGCCATGCAGGTGTAAATTGCATAAAATATAAATAAAAAAAATTTCTAATGTTGCACTTTAATAATACCGAATAATTGTTGAGAACTGATTATCGAGGACTTCTTAGCAAAGTTCACATTGTTGACCAGTTGTTAAAACTCAACCACCATTTTTTGGACTTAATAAACGACCCGAAAATGACCTTTTTAATAAGGTATTGTTTTTAAAAATATATAATGACAAGGAAAATGTAAAGTCTTTAGGATCAGCAAATTAACTTCAATTGCCAAAATTTTGTCGCCTTCAATAAGTTTTATATCAATTTCAAAAAGAGCTACTTGATTGTGTACAAACTGCTGGCATAAACCATCTAAGTCTTAAAAAATGTGTTGTTGTAGAAAGTCGTAAATTAAACGTTAAATACACCATTGAATTAATTGCTCTCAAAAATATGTCTTTAGAACTAAATTCTCTACCTTATTTCAGCTGAATACTATGTCAGCTAATTAACATTTGCACAAGATTATGATTATTTAAAATTAATTATTGTAACATTAAATTTGGACGATCTTCCCCTCTCTCCCCTCAGTGGTGTCCCACTTTACCGATGTTAAAAATCTGGTCACCTTATCTATAGGTAATTCTTTGAAATAATTATAGTGATATAATGAAAGTTTCCAAAGTTGTGAATTATTTACTTAATCCAAAACAATGACCAGCAATTAAATAACCATCAATTTCATTTCAGCTCTTGTTAGTCCATACAAGAATTATTTATAGAAAAAAAAATACTTTGATAACTGAAGCAACTTTTACGTTCAATCTTATTTTAAAGTTTTACTTCTTTTCTATAAAATATTTTACGAAGTCTAAGTTTGAACTGATAATGACAATATGTCTATGTCACTAATGCTACAACTATACTACAGAAAACATTGTTTTGATATAGTTTAGAAAAATCTGAAAAGTATTTACAATACCAAAATAAAATCAAAGATCATGGGTTGCATGGCCGGGATGATTTGATATTTGAATTGTATGTAATAGTTTATTAAAATATCAAATAAACTGATACTATATTTTTTAATTATACCTATTGGCAATGAATCGAACAAACCAAATTCAGCTGCACAAAGATATGAAGCCGCTATATGTAAACCTTGAAGAGAAGCTGAGTGTTTCATTGTTCAGGTAAAATTGAAACTAATAGAATTATTAATCATATCAAATACTTCAGGGCCATATAAAATGGACTAAATCAGACTTTAATGTATCATGGAATAGAGAATATGAACGTCCCACATAAATTTATTTTACTTGTGTAAAGAATAATACAAAGACCCAGGAGTGTGATTGGAAGTGATCTAAGATTTTAATAATAGAGGAGTCTTGCAGGGAGATGTGTTCTGTCATACCAGCTGTTTAATCTGGCTAATGAAAAGACTATGCAGATATATGTTGGTATTCAAACATCAATGAGCTAAATAATAAGTGAAAATAACGAATTAATAAAAAAACAGGACAAATAAAAACTATTATTTGTACATTTTCCCATTTAAATATCATCTCCTCATATCATATCATCAACCTAATTAATAATTAATTAAATTGTGTCTTCCGATTTCTGAATTCTTGCCAGCCCAGTTTTACTGTCATGATGACCCAGGTCCTCCTGATCAAACTAAAGGTAAGACAAGCTAACGAAATGTTGAATTCGGTGTTTGATCATTTCTCTTGGATACAAATACTTCTAGTACATCACAAATTTTCAAAAGCGTTACCTATAAAAACTCAGTTTTGAAATAAAAACTGGAAGAAACTGTTACTGTTGCTGCTTTATTCATAATAGCTGTAAACACCAAAAAATAAATAAATAAATAAAAAAACGAGAAAGAAAGTGGTAGCAGAGAAACTTTTTAAAAAACAAGACATAACAACTTGATATCGGAATTACTATTAAGGCATAGTGACTTGTTCTGCAATTTCATCAAATAAATAAAAGGAAGAGAGGTATCTTAGTAAGACACGGTGCTCCTAAGCTCAAGATCAACTCCAGATTTGAGCCGAACTGTGACAAGTAATAATTTATTCTTGCCACAATTTATGTATTGTGGTCAGGAAGCTTTCTTGGGGCACACCCAGCATCTATAAAGTGATTACTCTTAATTGATTAATTATGAGTTGAGCATGACGTCGGCCTAATCACCACACTGCACACATGTTGACCTTGAAACAGTATTTTCTTACAAAGTACTTTACCTGAGACCCTTCATGGGTTGTAGTGGTAGATTTTCATCTTTTTGATAAGATATGATTTTGATGAAATTCTTTGTTTGGTAACTCTTAAAATTCTCAAAAAGAACATTAAATAGAATACTGCTATTCAACCATGAATCAATAGTTGGTAATGCACCACTTGTTGATAAATTGAAGTTCACTGTACACTCCAAGCGATGTTTTCTTTTATAGAATTTTAAATGAAGACATCTTCAAACATTATGTTTGCTTTCATTTCTGAGCATTTGAGGAAAAAATTAATAAATTAATATTAGGTCAGTTTCATGATTTTTTTTTTTGTTAGATTATGCCTCAAAAAATATTTAATATGAAAAAAAAATAGTGTATAATTTTTATTTTGTTTCATAAACATATGAATGGCTTCATATCAAAGACGGAAATCTGTTAATTTTAAAAAGTTGAGAAAAAAACAATTTTTGTAACATCACTTCCATTTGAACCAATTCTGATTTTTGTTTTCTTCATGATTCAACTTGAGCTATAAATAAATTGATTTTTTCTCTACTTTCTGAAAACGACAGAGGCCTCTCATATATGTATTTAAATTTTTCATAATTTTCAATTAAACACAAATTCTACTAATTTTATTATTTATAATGTAAAATATTTCTTGACAACATTCCATATATATAAATTATTTACAGGTTTTTTTTTTTTAAACCCAAAACATGATATAAGATTTAAAAATAATAAATAAAATAAAAATTGTACATTTAATTTTTTTAAAATATCACGCCCAGCATTAAAAAAGTTCACCAATCAAAAGCATGTCATTAATATAAATATAGAAAAAACTTTAATTCTGCATGCTGTATATATAGCAAAAAAAAGGTTAGTTAGTACTAATATCCAACGAGCTGAAACATACAAAAACTGTACATATTAGATCCCAACGGCAACAATAGACTTGGATAGCGGAGAACTCCATTCTTCGGGAGACGAGAAGGGGAGACAGAGCCCTCAGCGAAGCAAGCCCGACACATCAAAACCCACAACAATTAGGCTTGACTTCATTGATATGCCACCCGAGCTTGTTATCACTTCGACTCAAGTATTCAAATCTTTATCATTACATATCATTCATTAAACACTATCATATTGTAAAAAAAAAATTCATTCAGCTTTATTTGCATTTCTTTCAAACAATTCTTTTATTATCACATCTTATGCATGATGCTTATACTTTGCATCAGTAATTCAAGCATTTTCAATATCTTTAATATTTTGCCTGAATTCTCCTGGAAAATGAGACACTGATACTATTTAATACTTATCTTTTTAGTTTTTTATTAAAGAGATTTTCAAAATATTGATACTACTGACGGTATTATAAAATTTAGTAAAGTTAAATTAAAATACTTTCAGGGCAGCGATCTGAGCGTCTTTGAGCGCCTATATAAGAGTGCACAGCAGTCCAAAGGTACTCAAAATTTATCTAACAATATTCTATTCATTTTCAAACAGATCATTATTTAATTGAAATAAGTAAAATTAAATTTATCATCATTTCAGTATTGAAAACATTTTCAATGGCTAAATGAAATTTAAATTACACTTTGAATAAATGACTCTTCCTCCACATAGAAGAGGCATTTTATATAGTCTGACACCCAGGGCTGCTTTACAAAATCCAACAAATTCCTACTCACTACATACTTTCTCAAGTATTATTATCAAGTTCCTATCTCTCAGACAGATCATTTAAGGTAAATCACAATGGTGTCTATTCATTGCTCTCTTCTTAATCCTCTAATGTTCTTCAAGGTAGTATCCTTAGTCCCGTCCTCTATACCAGGAGTCCCCAAACTATGGCCTGTGGGTCAGATCCGGCCCTCTAAAGTTTCTTTGAATACATAGTAAAATTCTGAAACTATTTAAAAAATATGAAATTAAGTAAATAACTCAAACAGGAGGTTCCTGCAACATTTATTACATGAGTTGTTTCTCTTAGAAAGCTTATTTCACAGCTGAAGTGTCATTTATTTATCACAAACCATGACCCGCAGGACTTAGTGGAGGCCTCAATGCGGCACTTGGGACTCAGTGAAGATTTCAATGTGATCTGCGGACCAAAATTTTACCCAAAAAACCCTGCTCTATATAGTTTATAAAGCAGACATTCCAAACTGTACAGAATGTGAGTAAGTTGATTCCAGAATAGATGATTGCAGTGTTGAAATATATAACTGAGAATAAAGGTATAAATTAGTAATAAAAAATGTTGAAATTGGAATTGGGCATTCTGTAAACTGAAAGGCTAAATTAAAAAAAAAAGTTCAATATTTTATCATATAGAGAGAGATTTTTTAAAAAGTATTATTTTGTTTAATTTTCATTGATGGAGAACAGAAGTCTCAAAATCACCAACTAGAAGAGACAGTTGTAGACGTTGCAGCCCTGGCAGATACGGCAAGAAGAGTTACAGGTATTAAACATATTATAGTTACTGTTTCAAATAACATTTTTCCAGAATTCTGTGTAACAAATGAATTATAAGGTATTAAATGAAATCCTAATAAGATAAAAAAGTCCAGTCTCAACTAGACTCACTGGACATGGGGAGGGGAGAAGGGGGTTTTCATGCCAAGTTACAGTCTTGGACAAGATACCGATCCTCTACGTTCCAGTTGTGGTGTCCTGGAAACTGCTGAACATGTGATCACCAACCGCTCTGCGTTTGATGTACTGAGGGCCAAGCTAATAGGGAGCACAACATCAACAAAGGAAAATTACCTCGACTTATTGCTGCCGATAACTACCCATACTACGAGGCATTCGTGTAATGGGTGGAAGGATGTAATAACAGCACATTTCAATATGGGAGTGAGATGGAGACTTCCATAATTACAATCCGGGGTGACTCCAGGATAGAAAATAGAACTGAAAAAAGCCGTAAATTTTATTGTTTTTACAATAAAATGGAATCCCTTATAGTCGAAACACAAGCGGGAAGGAGAGAGAGAAATAAATAAATGAAAATATATGAACATGGAAATTCATAAAAATATTTAAAAATTTATTTTTGGTCAGCATTTAATTTAATTATTTGATTTATAGTTACTTTCAGCAGTACTATTTATTGGTACAATGTTATGAAAATTATACTAATTTTCTACAGTAATTCATTTTTATAAATAATATAACTCTAAATTAAATATTTTTGAAATTGTTCAAAGCTACAATATATTTTTCTCATAATTATGATGTTCAATGTATTTTGTTGATTGGTAAAATGAAAAATTTATTTTTATTGGCAGATACATTTCTGGCTGCTTTAAAATAATAATTTCAAAATTATAAATTTGGGTTTTCAGTTAAATAAAAATATCTATATACTGTTTGCAGTCCAAATTCGAGTGATTTTGAGGCCAGATCAAGATATGAAACAACATTCCCTTACAGACAACAATTTTGGAAGGTCGTTTCACACAGCAGTATGCCATATGGAGGAAACAACTGTGATCAGGAACAGCTTTTGAAGTAATCAACTCATGTTTATAATAGCACGAAATTCTCAAGTAAAATTTAAAGAGTGTCAAGGAGAAAGTCTTCCAAAATTTTTATTTTTTAGTATATTAATTAATAATATTTTTATAATATATTGAAGAGAAGTTGGTTAGGGTGTTCAGTCAAACAAAGAACAAAGTAAATTTAAATAAATTATATTTATTTTTATGTATATTTATTTGTGTCAATAAATATAATTTATTTATTTTTACTTTGTCCTTTATTCGACTGAACATTCCAACCAACTTCTCTTCAATATATCTATGACATTCAATTATTGAGTTGGCAAATAAGTCCTTTCGGTTTTTTTGTTTTATTTTTATATCACTATGATACACTTCTTATCTGATGAATTAATCCCTAAGGTGGATTGTTTATCCTGTTTGTAATATGTCAACAACCATATCTGTTAACTCTTGTTGAAACTAGCTTAGTATTGTGTTTGCTATTTTAAAAAGGGTAAGCGTGCTGCAGAAGCTCATAGAAAAATTTGCAGTGTTTATGGGGATGATGCCTTAACCGAACGCACCTGTCAAAATTAGTTTGCCAAATTTCATTCAGGAAATTTTGACATCAATGATGCTCAACGGTCTGGTCGCCCACATGAAATTGAAACGAGCAATGTTAAGGCCATTGTTGATCAAAATCCCACCCAATCAGTGCGAGAGATTGCTCTGGCCCTAAATGTGTCGCACACAAGCGTAGAAAACCATTTGCACAAGCTCGGCTATGTTTTCAGGCTTAATGTTTGGGTCCCTCACTCTCTAACCAAAGTCAACTTGGCAACACGCATTTCTGTTTGTGATTCACTACGGAAACAGCAACAAAATGAACCATTTTTGAAAAGGTTGGTAAGAATGTGGAAACCCGGATTGCATCAAAGAAGATAATGCTTTCCATATGGTGGGATTTCAAGGGTGTTATTTTCTATGAGCTATTGCCATCAGGACAAACAATTGATTCAACTCTATACTGCTCACAATTAACAAAATTGGATCAATCAATTAAAATAAACGCCCAGAACTGGCAAATCGGAAGGTGTTGTGTTCCACCAAGACAACGCTAGGCCCCACACCTCATTGGTCACTCGCAATAAATTATTGAGCCTTGGATGGGACCTTTTGCCCCACCCTCCCTATTCACCAGACCTAGCTCCAAGTGACTACCACTTATTCTGGTCTCTGCAGAACTCCATGAATGGAAAGAAATTCCAAAAGGAAGAGGACATCAAAAACCACTTGGATCAGTTTTTTAACAATAAACTCCAGACATTCTATGAACATGGCATTATGCAGTTAGTGGAAAGATGGGAAAAAGTCATATTAAATAATGGTCAATATATTGTAGATTAAAATAAATTTTATGTCTATAATACATTGAGTTTTATTTCACCCTGAAAAACCGAAAGGACTTATTTGCCAACCCAATATTAATCAACTATCTTTTTATAACATACTATTATGAGAGGAACTTATATTAAAAATTAATGTTTCTATGAAAAGAACCCAAATCAAACATGAAAGAAAAGGGTGAGTCATAGATGTTCCCTTTTTATTCCTTGTATGTAATGTGAAATTTTATTAGTAGAACCCAGAATTTACTTTTTACAGATACTGAATTAAATATACTATTTTAAATAATTTGACATGTTTTTATCCAATGAAATTTTCTTTTTCTTTCTATCTTCTGCATGAGGTAATGAATCAAAAAAACTTTTTATGCTTTAACTATTCAAAATATTTTTGAAGACATTTTTTTTTTTACTTTTAGTATACTTGATAAATCATTGGTTTATTATAAAAAGACATTAAGAGAAATTTCATAAACTTCAGTCAATAAGAACTTCAATGAATTCTGGATCAGTACCCACCATCTATTTCTAGACTTTAAGGCAGCTTATGACAGTGTATCAAGAAAAGTGCTGTACAGGGGAATGCTAGAATTGAGAATCCCACCGAAACTTGTTCGATTGGCCCGCATAACAATGAAGGAAGTGAAGTGCTGTGTGTGAGTACAGAGAGGTACATCCGAGGGTTTTTGCACTAATAAGGGACTCAGACAGGAAGACTGCCTCCTTTTTAACTTCAGTTTAGAGTGTGCAGTGTGGAGATCTAAGATCCAGGTTGGTGTAATGGTGTTCAACAAATCGATTATGATCCAGATGATGTCAATGTTACAGGAAGGATGTTTGAAGCGATGAGGGACTCCTTTCTCGACCTGCAAAGAGAGAGTGCAAGAATGGAACTCATTATAAACGAGTTGAAAACTAAGTACTTGCACGTGAAACCTGTGGGTGGAGGCCATACAGACGACCATGTGCGTATTAGGCATCATTTCTTCAAGAGAGTCAATGAATTCATCTATCTCGGAACCCAGGTGAACTCCACGAATAAAATCAATCCCCAAATCCACCATCGAATAATGGTAGAAAACAGATGCTACAATGGACTCCTGGATCGGAACGTTGGACCCTTCCTAGAACTCAGGAACTGGTACTGGCAAGATTTGAGCGACGAATACTTTGCAGAATCAAAGGGGCTGCTGCTGTTTATGGAGGCTGAAGGCAACGTACCAATGCCAAGCAGTAGAGTCTCTGGAGGGATACTGACATTGTTAGTTTCATTAAAATAGGTCGGCTGCGGTGGGCTTGGCGAGAATGGCCAAGGACCAAATCCCGAGGAAGGTACTGGAGGAACAGCTGTGGGTACGGACACGAGTAGGCAGACTCAGACTGCGTTGGGCAGACAGTGTGAAGGAAGATTATGAAATGAGTATATAGTTGGCTGTTGGAAGTTATAAGGATGAAAAATGGACATGATGTGTAGTAAAAGATTTCTTTATTGAGTTTGCCGACATTTTGACCCAAACATGTGGGAAGAAACGTCGGCTAATGCACCTCCTGATCACTTTTTGTCCTCATTTATATTATAGCTATGTCTAAACTAATCTTTAAATTTAATTGTTTATACAAGTAAGAAAATATTATTGTCACCAATGTTTTCTCAAATTTGATGAAATATGGTAAAATTATTACATCTAATTCTTAAATTGGACGTTTTGTTAAACAGAGCATATTGTCAGTTTATTGCAAAAAATCATTAAATGACATTTCATAACCTCAAACAATTAAGAATTTGAAGTAGTTTCCCTTTAAGAAATCAGAAAACTGTGATTGTTGTGATAATATTTGTAAAAGTATAATGAAAAGTATTGTTGTCATTTTCATGCACTAATAGTATTCTTTTATCAATAACTAAAGTCGAAATTCACAAAAACATATCTGAAAGTTAAGCTATGTCAGGTATCTCCAAAATATGGTTCATGCAAGTTTCTTTGATTATGTGGTAAAATTATAAAAATAAAAAAATTAGTAAATCACTTAAACAACATTTGGTGCATATGTTGTTTCTCTTAAAAAGCTCATTTCACACCTGAAGTATCATATATAGAACAAACTTTTTTTTTCATGACAAGCTATGGCCCATGGGATTTGGTGGAGGTCTCAATGCAGCCTGCGGGACTTAGTGGAGGTTAGAATAGAATAGAATAGAAAAATAATTTTATTCTGGGACACAGTCCCTTGAGAATAACAAAATAGAACAAAATAAAAAGTGTGGCTCGTGAGCCAAAAGGTTTGGAGACTCCTGGCCAATACCAAAAATACACTCAGTGACTTTTTGCAATAAACTGGCAATATAAAAGCTCATAAGATTTAAAAAACTGTGTTTTCAGTATGTAATGATTTTTTTTTATACGTATTAAAATTTGAAATTATATTTAAGCCCAGTATAACTACAAGAACACAAAATAAACTAATTTAATTTAACAGATAACAGTCAGATAAAACAAATAATGTTGCAGCCATATTCATACTATCATTATTTCCTTATAACATTATCTTCATTATACTACACTATAGCCTTGA